AATTTGTTACAGCCCTTTAATGAAGTGAACAGGAAGGTTGGTGAGGGCAGGGCAGTAGGTGTAGTCGATATGGATTTCAGTTAAGGCCTTTGAGAAGGTTTCACACGGGAGGCTGCTCTGGAAGGTTAGATCGCATGGAATCCAGGGAGAGCTGGCAAATTGGATACACAATTGGCTTGATGGTCAGAGGCAGAGGGTAATAGTGGAAGAATGCTTGTTGGACTTGAGGCCTGTGACTAGTGGTGTGTCTTAGGGGTCGGGGCTGAACCCATTGTTGTTTGTTATCTAGATCAATGACTTGGATGAGAAGTTGCAAGGCGTGATTAGTAAGTTTGCAGATGACACTAAAATAGGCAATACTTTGGACAGTGAGGAAGGTTAACAGAAGTTGCAGCAGGATCTTGAGCAGCTGGGGAAGCGGGCCGAGAAATGGCAAATGGAGTTTAATTAGATAAGTGTGAGGTGTTGCATTTTAGAACGTCAAATCAAGGTAGGAGTTCATGATGAATGGTAGGGCCTTAAGGAGTGTAGTGGAACTGAAGGACCTTAGAGTTCAGGTGCACAGTTCTCTGAAAGTGGGTTCACAGGCAGACAGGGCAGTGAAGAAGGTTTGTGGCACACTGGCCTTTATCAGTCAGGACGTTGAGTATAGAAGTTGGGAAGTTATGTTCCAGTTGTACAGGACATTGGTGAGGCCACACTTGGAGTATTGTGTTCAGTTTGAGTCACCTTGATAGAGGGTGTTAATAACCGGGAAACAGTGCAGGAGAAATTTACAAAGATGTTGCCAGGACTCAAGGGACTGAGTTATAGGGAGAGATTGGACAAACTAGAACTTTTTTCTTTAGAACACAGGAGACTGAGGGGGTATCTTACAGAAGTATATAAGATGATGACAGGCATGGATAGGGTGAATGCACTCAGTCTTTTTCCCAGGGTTGGGGAATCGACGAACAGGTGGCATTTGTTTGAGGTAAGAGGAGAAAGAATAAGCTTGAACTTGACAGGCAACCTTTTTTTTTAAAAAACAGAGGGTGGTACGCATATGGAATGAGGTGCCAACAGAAATGGTTGAGCTGGGTCCATTAACAACATTTAAAAGGCATTTGGACAAATACATGGAAGGAAAGTTTTAGAAGGATATGGGCCAAGTGCAGGGAAACGGGGTTAGCGTGGAGGTACCTTTTGGTCGGCATGGACAAGCTTGGGCCGAAGAGGCCTGCCTCTGTGTTGTAGGACTCTATGACTTTATGACCCTAAGAAACATCAGAGATAGAATGACTATGGTACAAAATGTGAGAGAGAAGAAAATACACATTACTTTTAAACTTGTATAAAACTGGAAAAACGAAAACTAACTTACATTTGGCTATTTATACCTGCTTTGCTGCAGCAACTTGTGTGAATGAGTGCATCTCCAACAGTCAAGAAGCTTGACACCATCCAAGGGAAACAGCCTGCTCAGCTGGCACTCCATCTAAAACATTCAACATTCACTCTCACCACCACTGAAGTGATGCACAGTGGCACCATTGTGTACTATCTACTAGATCCACTGCAATGACTCACTGAGCCTTCATGGACAGCACTTTCTAAAATTAGTACCTCCTAGAAGAACAGGGTCACATATACATGGGAACAGCACCACCTGCATAGTCCCCTCCAAACTACACACTATTGTCTTGGAAGTATATAATCACTCCTTCACTGTCATGGGATCAAAATCCTGGAACTTCCTTCCTAAGAGCATTTTTGGATGTATCTACACCAAATGAAGAGTTCAAGAAGGTAGCTCATCACCACTTTCTCAAGGGCAATTAGGGATGTGCAGTAAATAGTGGCATAGCCAGCAATGCCCACATCTTGCAACTGAATAAACAAAAAGCTGTTTCTTTTTAAAAAGTAATGATTGATTTATAGTCATTAACAGGTATGAGGACATTTCCTGTAAGGCTAATTTACACCTCTAAATTGGAAGGCAGAGTTTCATTCATACGTACAAACACAAGTGTGAAGTTTTAATTAAAGGACTCATGGCACAGCAATAGTGTCCCCACCTCTGGCAAGAAGGTATGGGTTCAAGACCCACCTGATCCAGAGATGTGTCATAACATGCCTGAACAGCTTGATTAAAAATAATTGATGATTTACTTATTAACTTGCAACTATCAGAGAATGTTCTAACAATTGATGAGAGTTATGAAGCAATCGGCATTTTATTTTAAATAGGGAATTGAATATGGTATGATGGCTTGCTAGCATTTAAGAAATGGATGGGAATGTTTAAAATTTATCTAGAAAACATACACAATAAAATGTGCACACTTTTGTGATGATATGGCATTTCTTAGTTTCTACAAAAATCAGTAAGATTAAATTTTGAAAGATTACAACAATGAACTACGATGGAAACTTAACAGCATAATCATGTCGGGCTTTTAAAACATGCACTTGTAATATTTCTAAAGCTGTTCTAAAAACAGAATCTGAACCAGTAATCACATGCTGTTGGCACTGTGCTTGGAAATGAATTCACCTTGGCAAACACACGCTAGGCATTTTGCAAGGACAGCTGACTAACTTAATGCATGACCTTGCAAAAGTTGCCATGGGAATTCTGTTAGAAATCTGTTGTGCAACCAGTTTTAGTCTGTTGAGTACAGATCCAACATGACAACTATATAACATTTTATCAGCAGTGCAATTCTGTCCGAAATACGTCACCTCATTACGTGGCAAATGGTATTTGGTAAAGATATGTAAAGAAATCTCAGTGGAAGCAAAGAATATTTCTATAGTCCTGAAGGCAATATTGAGTTACCAGCTCAAAAGCCTGAATTAGTTTGATCCAAAAAGTTGGGATGGATGGATATGAGTTGGAACAGATACATGCAATTGCAAACAGACAGGACGGTGATGGCCTAGTGGTATTATCGCTCGACTGTTAATCCAGAGACACAGATAATGTTCTATGAACTTGAGTTCGAATCCTGCCAAAGCAGATGGTGGAATTTGAATTCAACGAAAAAAAAATCTGAATTAAGAGTCTAATGATGACCATGAATCCATTGCTGATTGATGGAAAACCCCATCTGGTTCACTAATGTCCTTTAGGGAAGGAAACTGCCATCCTTACTTGGTCTGGCCTACATGTGATCTAGACTCACAGCAATGTGGTTGACTCTTAATTGCCCTTTAGGTAATTAAGGTGGGCAATAAATGCTGCCTAGCCAGGGACGCCCTCATCCTGTGAATGAATAAAGAAAAAAATATCCAAATCTTTGAAACTTCCAGAATTCTCAACATGAGAGAAATGGAAATTCAACTTCAATTGCATAGTTGATTAATTAGAAGGGGGTGAAAGAAATGCAAATTGCACCGACAATTGTATTTTTTTGGGGGAAATATTTGTGTTTCCATTCAAACTCAATTGTAAGTCAACAATTGCAAAATTTGAGATGAACTAATGCTGCTGGGGAGCCAAGTTTTTGTTTTAAAGCTGTTACTTAATATACTTCAGAATAGTAACTAAGTGTCATTTGACCACTTCAGCAGAAAATTTATTTAAACTAAAAACAAGTCATTTGAATCACCGCAGATCCACCGAGTAGCCCAACATAAATGACAGAATGACTTAAAAAAGACTTTTTAAATACAGAACTATTTTCTACTAATAGCATGATTTAGCAATCTGTTTGGGTAAATAATTTTTATTACTTCTGATTGCTTTTAAAAGTACTGCCCATAGATGCTTGAGCCCCAAAAAAAAAAAACAGGTATCTTTAAAAACACCTCTAAAAAGTGTGCAAACAAGCATGATTACAGGAAATTCTCACTCATAGTTAAGCATTCTGGACGTTTTCTTAACTGAAACAGCACTTAAATGCTAACTGCAGGCACAGCTAAAAGCTGACCATTCTGCAGTATTGAGCCATGTCCCTATTCCTCAAAGCCTGATCACCACTTACAAATCAAAGTCAAAAGTGCATGCAATACGCTACACATGCCGAGCTTAGTACAGCTCCAACAGCGTCTTGAAACTTGACACGATAGAGGACAAAGCAAACTCTTTGATCAGCGACTCATCCACCACTTTTAAGTATTCACTACTTCTAGTAATAGCACTGTATGCAATTTACAAGAAGCACTGCAGTAATATGCCAAAGCTCCGTCAACATTTCCAAACCTTATAAACTAAAAGATTAAGGGCAGCAACCACATTGGAATACCCTCACCTTGTACTTCCTCTCCAAGTCACACCCTATCATCACGAGCAAAATTATTTCATTGCGATTGGATCAAAATCCTGCAACTTTCAACCTAGCATCAGTTAGGAAGTACCTTCTCGAGATAGCCTGCAGTGGCTCCAGAAGATGACTCTCACAAACACAAGATGACAACCTTAATTAAACATACTCAATGAAGCAGCCTTCAAAGTTCGCTGAAGAGAATTCCAAACCTAATGATTCTGAGAGAAGAAATTCCTCTTCAGCTCTGTCGTAAACGAGAAAGCCCACACTTTGAAAAGGTGTCTTCAAGCTCCAGATTCCCCAATAAGAGGAAATATCCTCATTATCTACCATCAAGCTTCTCACAATTTTGCTTGTTTCAATAAGGTAACCTCTCATTATTCTAAACTCCATGGGTGCAGTCCCCAATTTGGTCAATATTGTTTCATAAAACAACCATTTCATCCCAGGAAATGAACCTAGTGAACACTCTCTGCGTTGTCTGCAATCCAAGTAAATAAGCAGGCTATAATTGCACGTAGCATTCAATTGAAACCTTGTAAAGGGAAATTCAAACTGTCAGTTAATAGTTGAATGAGTGTCTTAAAATGTGAAATGGCATTCACTGTAAAAATCGATTGAAACATCCGCTGAAAATCTTATCCTTCAGTTTGCAAAAATCTGCACTTGGAATCAACTTCCAATTGATATGCATATCAACTTTAATGGCACAATATCAGTCTCCTTACTAAATACTAGGAAATTGCCTACCTCTGGTTCTCTTCTCTCATCTGCTGAAGGGAGTTTAAGTTCTCGGCCCTGATCATCATTTGGGTCAAAAAGATAAATGTAGTCTGAGGAATAACTAACAAGAATTTCTTGTCCGTCATTACTGTAACAGAGAGATGTAACTCGACAGGATTTATTGGTAAGATGTGGTGGTAAAAATCTTGCACACATTCCAGTAGTTGATCGAGTATTATAACTACCTGCAAAAACAAAAAAGATAAATAAGAACAGTAGAAATTTATAGCACAGAAGGTAGACGTTTTGCTAATTACTCTTCTTTTGGTTTGTTAAAAGAGCCGTCCACTTTGTCCTGTTTCTTTTTGCTGTGCTCTGTTCATTTTTTAACGTTTCAAGTATTTATATACTTCATTTTTAAAAGCTGTTATGGTCTCCAATTCATCCGCTATTTGTGGTACTGCGTCTACTCCTACCTATCTATTCACAAATAACGGGCTGAACCTTACCTTTTCGGCTATGTGCAAGTTAAGTTGAGTATTAGGAGACATTCATACTGTGATGCCCAGCAAGATTTATCGTTATATATTTCCAAACTTGTCTCATTAACTACCTACTCTGCCCCTATGATGTCCTTCACGTCCAATTCTAGTCCCATTTTACCACATGCATTTCACAGAAAAACTCACCAATCACAAGATAACCACAAAAAGACCGGCATCCCTTATGCCCATACCAACTTTAAAAGCTCACTGTGCACTGGGACAAGCACTGTCAGTCCAAAGCTGACCTGCACAGCTCCCAGGTATTTGCAGAAAGGGAGAAATTGGTCTGTGCTTTGTGGGTAGGGTCCTGGAAGTCCTGCTGGACACAGTGTTGAGATGTGAGACAAACCCTTCCCTCAGAATGGGTAGTACAGGGCACAACAACCAGATGATGCTGGCTTGTTCTGTGGATGCCACCTGGGTCAGTGCAGTCTCAGTTGTTCGGAGCAATGTTGGGTATATAGGAAGGAGATCTACTTTTCTACTGGGGCAGCACAGTGGCTCAGTGGTTAACATTGCTGTCTCACAATGCCAGGGATGCAGATTCAATTCCATCCTTGAGTGACTGTCTGTATGGAGTTTGCACATTCTCCTAGTGTCTGTGTGGGATTCCTCCAGGTGCTCCAGTTTCCTCCCACATTCCAAAATTGAGCAGGTTAGGTGAACTGGCCATGCTAAATTGCCCATAGTGTCCAGAGATGCGCAGGCCAGATGAGTTAGCCATGGGAAATGCAGGGTTACAAGAACAGGGTAGAGGAGTAGGTCTGGGCGGGATGCTCTGCGGAGGGCGAGTGTGGACTTGATAGGCTGAATGGCCTGCTTCCACACTGTAGGAATTCTATGATTCTATCCTGTCACCAAGTCACCCTTTATTTACACGTGTACAGTACATGGACTCTGACCAGCCAGCTCAGAGACAGTCCCTAAAATCAGGAGACTCTGAATCTCCTGTTTATATCTGTCAGCCAGGGCTCCCTGATTGGCCCAAGTTAGCAATCCCAGTGAAGGATCTCAGTCCAGTCCTTGTTCCAGTCACTACAGGTAGGTTAGGTGAATGGACAAAAATTTGACAGATAAGAGTTTAATGCAGACAAGTGTTTCTATTCATTTTGGTCAAATGAATAGAAAAGGAACTTATTATCAAAATGGAGTGAAACTTCAGAGTACTTCGGTGCGTAGGGATCTGGGTGTCCTTGTGCACGAATTGCAGTAAACTAGTATGCAGATACAGCAGGTAATAGGAATTTTGGTATTTATTGCTAAAGGAATTCAGTACAAAAGTAGAGAAGTGTTGCTGCAAGTGTACACGGTATTAAGGAGGCCAAACCTAGAGTTTTTGTCCACTTAGTTCAGGTGAGATGTAGATTGCCTTGCAGGCAATTGAGAGGAGATTCATTACATTGATTCCAGAGGTGAAGGGTTTGTCTTATGAAAGGAGACTGAGCAGTTTAGGCTGATATACTCCGGAGTTTAGAAGATTCAGAGGAGGTGGAATTGAAGTAAATAAGATGTTAAAGAGGATTAACAAAGTAAAAGTAGACAGAATGTCCCACAAGAGGAAACAATGTAGGATAGGAGGCCATAGCTTTAGAATAAAGGGTTGCAAATTTAAAACAGACATCAGAAGAGAAATTACTTCCCTGAATGAGTCGTAAAGTTGTGGAATTCACTATCCCAGAGTATGGTGGATGCTGGGCTATTCAGAAAATTTGAGAGAGTCAGATAGACTTTTAATCAGTAATGGGTTGAAAGGTTATGATGGGTGGGCAGGAAAGTGGATTCGAGGTCAAGGTGACATCTGCCATGATCGTACTGAATGGCAGAGCAGGCGCGAGGGGCTGAATTGTAAACTCCTGCTTCCAAGTTCTTTGGTTCTAATTGAGAAGCATACCATAATTTTAGATGCGCCATGAAGGTTTTAGAATCATGGAGATGTACAGCACAGAAACAGACTCTTCGGTCCAGCTAGTCCATGCTGATCAGATACACTAAATTAATCTAATCCCATTTGACAGCATTTGGCCCATATCCCTTCCTATTCATATACCCATCCAGATGCCTTTTACATGTTGCAATTGTACCAGCCTCCACCACCATCTCTGGCAGCTCATTCCACACACTCACCACCCTCTGCGTGAAAAAGTTGCCCCTTAGGTCCCTTATAAATCTTTCCCCTTTCCCCTTAAATATTCGTCCTCTAGTTTTGGACTCTCCTACCCTGGGGAAAAGACCTTGGGTATTCAGCCTTTCCATGTCCCTCATCATTTTATAAATTTCCACTAGAGGCTGGCACATGTCATGTGCTAATGAACATGGATGTCAAGCATATGGAACTGGCACCCATAAATTGTTCCCTGATAGATAGGTGCCCAGTTTCCAACATGGAAGACCTTCAGAGGAAGCAGCAAGCTGAAGTCAACAGGCAGCAACTCTGATTTCCATTTCAAGAATTCTTGGTAGCAAGTTTGCCAAACAAACTAGCTAAGATAGAAAGCTGAATGTTAAATGACGCAAGTTGGGCCATTAATGGAACATTTAAAAAGCTATAATACCCCTTACTGGCAACTAGTTGCTGCCTAGCTTTCAAAAACAGGACAGTGTAACGAATCTATCACAGTCTGCAGATTTAAAACAAAATCAGAGCACTGCAAAAATGTTAATTACCCAACAGTAGAATCAAAATTGCAATATTGAACTTCTAGAAGTGGTAGCAATTAAGGTTTCTAGATTGATTGAAAAACTGTCTTCTTTTCCTTTAACAAGTGACCCATCCTCAGTCGCAACACACTATACTGTGTAACTTCCATCCTTCATTGACAATTAGATTTTGGATTCACTGCATGTACATGTTCCCTGCTGAAAACTGTCCAAAAGAGCTTTGTAGACTTAAATCATATCAATTTGCAATAAAAACTAAACTTTTAGTTTAATTAATTTCAGGTTCTCTTGTATTTTGGATGACACAGTTAAGTATGAAATACCTGTCGCTCTTGTGCCAAGCATTCTTCGATCATATATTCTCACAGAGCTATCTGAGCACCCAACAGACAAGTAGAATGGCATCAAGGGGCAGATAGCAATTGAAGTAGCAGCACGCCGACAGTTTATTAAAATGTCCTGTTTTGAAAGAAGGGTTGAAACCTTAAGGTAATTGTTCTCTAGAACTAAAGGTATACATTTCTTATGAGAACATTGCCATCTCAGTTGACTTAATTTTTTAACAAATGTTGATTTACAAAATTTTCACATTTGAAATTGCTAAGTTTGATTTCATAGTGGGTATTTGGTACAGGCATTCAAAATCAAACCTCCTATGCTACCAAAAACAAGCAGAACTCATCAAGAAACAGTCCAGAATAAGACTCCCTTCTTTTACCACTCCAAGACAGATATATATGGTTTATTTACAAGTCCTTGTTACTTTATCATAAATATAGTTGCAATCTTATTATCCAGCATGCAACGATACCAAGTTCGCCTTCATCTCTCATTTTACCACACAAAAAAAAAACCAGCTTAGAAATACTACATCATCCAATTGCTTTATGATTCAAAGATCAATAATATTTTAATTTGTAGGCTCTTTCCAGCAAATATGGCTTATCTGAAGATAGACCCTTTCAAGAAATATTTCAACTCTTAAACTAGTCTGTCAAAGCAGACTATTAATAGTACCTTTACATTAGGATCGCTTAAAGTGTGTATTTAAATATTTCTTAAACTCACATCTTTGCAATCTTCTTTTGTACAATTTGTCTTCATTCTAATATCAAACCACCTTACTGTACCATCTTCGCCACATGATAGAAAGGTGTAAGGATCATTTGGTACTGTCATGATCTGAACAACAAAAAGATGTCAAATTATTTAGTGCTATTATTATCTGAGAAAAAAAATGTAGTATACAGGATTTCAAACAGATGTGCTTCACATGTTGGCAGGACACGAGGGGTAGATTTTCACTCTGCTGCCCAGCATTAAACTGTCATCACAGATTGGTAGTCCATGATCTTTTCCTTTCCACTGAAATCAAATGGAAATTAATATCAGGGAATTTCTACAACAAGTAGCTGATCCACACAGCAGTTTTTCACTACCGCACTAAGTTAAAATGTGTTGTCAGACTATGAGGACATTGGAAGGATTCATACTCAAGATCAATTTAATTATGGGTACCTATTAGCAATCACAAATATGAACTATTTTTTCTCTACTCAATTCAAATGTTCTTAACTTAAATGTAGTAATCCTACTTCAACACTAGTAGAGATGAGCTAATTCAATACCAAATTGAACTGGTCTGTAGGGACTCAGTTAATTTGCATATAGAAACCTAATGACTATGTTACAGCAAAAGCAATCCAGGGATCATGAACTCAAATTACAGGTTGTGAAACTTAATGCAATAAATCTGGGAATGTGTGTGCTGGCACAAGGAAAAGTGACTTGGAACGCAGTTGGATTGGTGTAAAGACCTAATTGGTTCATTAACATCCTGCAGGGAAGAGACCTTACCATTGCTAACCTGCACATGACACCAGCCCCATACTGAGTGAATCACTCAATGTTCTTGGCCAGTGAATGTCACCCTCATTCTATTAATAAGCATTTAAAAAGTAATCCACACAAGGCTACTGATAGGAGCATGAGACACTCCAAGATCTCAAATTTGGATGGCTTTAATTGATCTTAACAAAAAAGGACATGGATGCAATCTATAGAATTTAAAATGTACTTCATAATTTAAAATCTAAAAATAATAAGTGGAAATATTAAATGTTGGATGCAATATGGTTCCACATTGCAATGGATTAAGGAACATTGCACAAGGAGGTTGTGTAACGTTCGAAATTGTTATTATGAACAGAAACATGTAAACTTTCAAGGGAGAACCACTTTTAATGTAACAAGTTGTTGCAATCTGCAATGCACTTTTCTGATAGGATAGTGGAAGCAGTTTTTAATTATTCTTCAAATGGATAGCTTTTAAAAATAGCTGACACGGGCACTATGAGCCAAATAACACGGAAACAGACCCTTTGGTCCAAACTGTCCTTGCCAACTATCTGTCTTGTATTATTCTATGATACTATTTGGAAAGAGTTGAATGTACCCAAATGGAGAGTTGCCATTAAAATGAAAAGAAAGGATACAAACATGAGGTACTTTTCCACAGGTTGCCATAAAAAGTCAACCTACATCACTTCAATTCAGCATGGAGTGATACCAGTGCTAAGATAAGTGATCCTTTTGTTTTCTCAGGGCATGGTGGTCGCTTTTAGGTGCAACTAAATAGAGCAAAAAAAAACACAAAATGGCAAAGAACCCTTTTCTTGCAAAAACAACATCAATCAAAATTATGGTATGCGATCTTTGTATTTTTCAATATGAATTTTAAAACTTTGTTTTGAAAAAACAATAACTAAGCTTTTTCCTAAAGCCTTGAACATTAACTTCTTTGATTTTCAGTGAAATAAACTTAACAATATCATATCATCTATAGCGCAGCTGCATAAACCAACTGTCCTTCATAAACTTAACAGTATATCATGTTAATTATTCTTCAAGCAAGTTTCTATCTTAAGTGCAAAGTGTAATTAAAACTAATCAGTTGCTGCCAAATTACAATTGGGATTGGAAATAGAATCACAGTAACTATTATGTATTTAATTGCATACACAGACAGCTATCATCTTATGATGGCATTGAGTTTAAGTTATATTCAATTATTTCAGTGAATTCATAGTCTTCCAGCATCACAAAGAACCAGAGGTGAGGAGACATTTTTTGTTTGCACAAAAAGTAGTAAGTCTTTTATCACCTGCAATGCACTGTCTGAAAAGGATGGTGGAAACAGATTCAATAACAATTTTTCAATTTTTTTGATAGCTGTTTCAGAGAACAGACAATAAACCAAATGGCCACAAATTCACTTAAGAGTGAATTATTCACTGAATAAAATCACAATACGTGTGAAGCTCTTAATGAAAAGAGCTGCAGATACTGGAAATATGAAATAAACAAAAATAGAAATTTCTGAAACTTGAAAGCTGGACTTGAAACGTTAACACTGTTTGGTCTCCACAGATGCTGCCAGACCAGCTGAGTTTCTCCAGCAATTTCTGTTTTTGTTTGTTTCAAGCCTTAATTACCTCAGTGAATTTCAGATTAACAAAAGCTAAAACACCAAAGTCAAAACTCGTTGTGGAGCTGGAGGAACACAGCAGGCCAGGCAGCATCAGAGGAGCAGGAAAGCTGACGTTTCGAGTCGGGACCCTTCTTCAGAAGAAGGCCTATTGTATTCCTCCAGCTCCACAATGAGTTATCTCTGACTCCAGCATCTGCAGTTTTTACTATTTCAAACTAATAACTCATAAAAGGTTTGAACATGGTTGCTGCACAAGTTACATTTTCATGGTCATGTTTGTGAACAAGGGAATATGATTTTTTTTTTTAAAAGTAAATTATTCACACTACATATTAAACAAGAAGATTAAATTCAGAAGATCATGATTACAATTTATTCTTTTCTACTTTACACAGGACCTAATCAGAGTCAAATTGCAGCGAATTGTACTCGTCTTTCAAATTTTCATTTGGTTCTAGCACAAATTATTAGCTTTTAAAAGCGGAAACAAAAATAATACTGAACACTAGTCGACTTTCTGTACACTAAATACACGCCAAGGATAATTATCGTTGGACTCTATCACGAACAATTATCCATACATGGTCAGGATTTTACCACCCAACAGATATAAAAGCATACGATACCCACATCCTCTAGACAAAATTGCACCCAGCAGGACTGTGGACTTCTCGAAAAATAATCAATGAATTTTCAGGCATGTGTGGCAAAAGAATGAACAAGAGCAATAACTGTAATTCACACAGATTGTCAAACTATCCCAGGCTTGGTTAATCATTTAGGAGGGCAAGGGAACATTGATGTAATGCCTTGTCTCATTAAAACTTTCACTATCCTTTCAGAGCTCTCACTGCTTTTGGTTCAGGAAGCCATGGGTCAGGACACATAAATTATTGTATTCGTACTGCATCTGAAAGTATTAATTTAGAAACCCTTATTTTAGCTCACAAAAATAACTGTTGTTACATGCATGCATCAAACAAACATTTCTGAAAATCAAAGATGATTAAAACTCAAGCACTCTCATATTTGGTTATTCTTTACCCATGATATCAACATCATCACCAATATTCCTGTATTACCTCATAAGCTGTTCCATAGTGGCAGTTAAACTGGCTCTGCCGATTGGATTCTGCATCTCGCTCTGTGTCTGTATAAAATATGACACCATCTCCCGAGCAGGAAATAATCTGCTTGTCATTGGTGTGTGGAAGAAATTTTGCACTAAAAATGTTTGCACGATGGCCTGAGCGAATGGTTGATAGAATCTGAAAGCAGATTTGTTTTTAAAAAAAATAGAGAAACTGAGTTTCCATTCAATAACTCAAAGCAAAATTTTCTTTAGAAAAGTGTAAAGGAACAACATCACAGGACTAGTTTGGTTATCCTGCTGTTCTCTGTATTATACAAAATGTAATGTATTAATGGATCCTATCAGAGAACAATATTCTTCAAACCACTTAACCTCAATAGCATTAAATATCCCTCAGCATTACATAAAATAATAACCTAGATCTTTCATATTGATTGTTGTTTACCAATGTTCAACAGCAAAATGTGATAACAATAAAAAAAGTTTTTTCAATAGCAACTACACTAAAGTCCTCTTTAGCACTTACTTGCAACTTTTACTGATTTTTTTTAAATCAACCTCTTCAGAGATGTTATTACAGACCTCTGAAGCAGGTGGAACTTTAACCTAGGTCTCCTGGTGCAGAAATAGGGACACTATGACGGTGTCACAAGTGCACAACTACTTTCATAAGATGGTCACAGAAGGCAGTTCTTTCACTTCAATAAGGTTTTGAAATTTTATCCCACGTAGCTAGATTTGGATCCAGAGGCATGCCACAATAATCAGAAAAAGATTCAAAGACCAAAGGGTAGTTCAGGACAAAAACAGAAATTGCTGGAAAAGCTCAGCAGGTCTGGCAGCATCTGTGGAGAGAAATAAGGGGCTACTCGACCCGAAATGTTAACTCGGATTTCTCTCCGCAGAATGCTGCCAGACCTGCTGAACTTTTCCAGCAATTCTATTTTTGTCTCCGAATTACAGTGTCTGCAGTTCTTTCAGGTAATTTGGGACGCTGTGTCACATAACTAAGGACATTGGTTTGATTGCTCAATCCATTTCGTACAGAAACTAGACAGTGTGAAATGAAATCCTCTAATTAAATCCACTACTTTTGTACCCGCCAGCCTTCTCTTTGAAATGTAACATTCATGTTCTAAAGTTGTTAGGTGGCAACATTCACTTCTGTCCAGCAACAGGGAACAGCCTCATTAGAGATAGTAGGAACTGCAGATGCTGGAAAATCTGAGATAACAAGGTGTAGAGCTGGATGAACACATCAGGCCAAGCAGCATCAGAGGAGCACGAAGGCTGACGTTTCGGGCCTAGAAGGGTCTAGGCCCGAAACGTCAACAGCCTTATTACATGATTCGCAGTAAGTCACGCAGGGCAGTTCAGAGGTCACTGAAAAGCAGTTCTCAAAATCAATTAATTGGCTGAAGAGGCAAAAACAGGACAGACCTTCAATCATAGAATCATAACATACAGAAGTGGCCTTTCAGCCCATCTGCAAGTCTGCATTGACAAAACTACTGTAAATCTACACCAGTCCCACTTTCTAGCAGAGATGGTAGGAACTGCATATGCTGGAGAATCTGAGATAACAAGGTGTAGAGCTGGATGAACACAGCAGGCCAAGCAGCAGAGGAGCAGGAAAGCTGACGTTTCGGGCCTAGAATATAGCCTTGAATGTTACGACATTTCAAAGGTTGCGAGGTTTCCTGCTTCCTACTCTCCTAGGCAGTGCATTTCAGATTCACACCATCCTCTGGGCAGAAGATTTTCTCCTCAATTCCCTACTAAACCTTTTATCTGAAAAGGTATGACGCCTTGATCCTTAAAATAAGGGAGACAGTTGCTTTCTATCTACCCTGTCCATGTCCCTCATAATCTTATACACCTGAATCAGATCTCCTTGAATATTTTCTACTTGATAGAAAAATGCGAGCATATCTAGCCTCTCTTCATGGCTAAAGTGCTTCATCCCTGAATACATCCTAGTGAATCCCCTCTGCTTTAAACACTTCCTTTCTGGTGATCAGAGCTGCACATAGTACTCCAGCTCTGGTCTGAACAAATTTTTGTACAGCTCCAACATAGCCTTCCTGCTCTTATAATCCATGCCATGGCTGATAAAGGCAAGTGTTCCTTTATAAGTGCTGATCTTCAGCTGTCCTGCAGGGAATTGAACGAACTGGAATCCATGTAGGGAACAGTGAATTAAGTTCCAAAACAGTTGGATTTCTCCGTGCTGTTAGAACTCACGCTAAATTCTAGGAGTTAGTAGGCTGCTAATCTCCCAAATCTTGTTATAATCTCAGACTAGACCACCAACTTTATGTTATGATCCTGATTAAGTTACCAAAGTGAACTACAAGCTGGTTAGGAGCAGAAAAAGGATGAGAAGAGCCTGAGAATAAAGCCACAAACAAGACTGCTCAGTTTTGAAAAAAAAACAATAACCGTTTCGATACAATGTTGAAACAGTAATTTGACCTACAGTACATGGCCAACTTATTTCCAACACCCAGAATTAACGTGGCAAATACGGGTAGTGCACTATGATCAAACACCCGACAGCACACAGTAAATAACAACAGTGACTAAGATAAATTCCATGGATTTCTCAGTAACACAACCGTTAACGACATGGTGAGTCATCAAATCTCATGAAAATTTACAAGGCTTGCAATTTTTCATTTTTGCCATACCTGGCCTTAAAGACTCATGTCAAGAGCCGTTCTATCATGGAGAGAAAACTCAGAGTGCTTTGGTACAATCCAGAATGAGCTGTCATTGCTTTAGCATAAGGGATAGCAGATTTAAAAATGGAGATGAGAAGAAATTTCTTCTCAAAGGGTCAAGAATCTGTGGAATTCACTACCTCAGAGTACAGTGGATACCAGGATGTTGAGTAAATTTAAGGAGCATTTAGATTTTTAACTAGTAATGGGTTGAAGGGTGACAGCGGACATGAAAGTGGAGTTGAGGCCAAGATGAGATTAGCCACAATCATTTAAATGGCAGAGCAGGGTCAAGGAACTAAATTGCTACCCCTGCTCCTAGTTCTTAGAGGTCAGGGAAAACACTGGAACGTATTTAGCTTGGCATAGCTAGCTGTCAGCAAAAAGCTAGAGTTATGTTGGTGAATAAGTACTGGAGGGCAATTTTCAAAGTCAGAGGGAGAATAGACCTAGAAAAGGACAGTTGAGAGAGATAATCTAGGATCACATGTTGCAGAGTCCATTTGGATGGAGGTAAAAAACAGCAAGGGAAAGAAGACATTGATAGGAGTGGTGTACAGACAGCCAAACAGTAGCCATTCTGTGGGAAAGGTTATAAATTAACAAATGATAGCATATAAAAAAATACAGCAATCGTTATAGATGATTTTAATCCTCATATTGATTCAGTTAATCAAGTTTAAAAGGGTAGCTACAACAACAAACTCAGAGTACAATAGTGGAGTTTTCTAGAGCAATAGGTCATGGAGCCAACCAGGGAGCAGGCGATCTTGGATCTGGTAGTAGGTAATGAGACAGGTTTAATAAAATGATCCCCAAGGAAAAGATCCCCTATTAATCATAACATGATAAAATTTAATATTCAGTTTGAGAATGAGAAATTTGGGTCAGTAACAACTGTGTTTAACTTAAATAAAAGAAATTACAATAAAATGAGGATAGAGTTAACTAAAGTGAACTAGGTGGATAGATTAGCAGGACTAACAGTAAGCAGGCAGTGGTAGGTACTTAAGAAGGTAATTCATGACTCTCAGCAGAAATACATCCCTAGTAAAGATGGAAAATTCTAAAGAGAGAGTTAAACCAACATAGCTAACCAAGGAAGTTAAGGAAAGTATCAAGTTGAAAGAAAAAGCATACAAAGGAGGCCAAAGTCAATGATAGCTCTAAAGACTGGGACAAATTCAGAATCCAGCAAAGGAGGACTAAAAAGATAATAAAGACAGACAAAATAAATTACAAGGGCAAACAAGCCACAAGTATAAAAACTGACAATAAGAGCTTCTTTAAATGCATAAAAAGGAAAAAATAATCGAACAAACTTAGAGGCTTTATCTTAATGGACACAAAATTCAACGTAAGGTAGATGAACTGATGGTGCAAATTGAGGAAAATGAATTAAATCTCATAGCCATTCCAGAAACATGGTTGTAAGATCAAAACTGGGAACTTAACATTCAGGAATATTTGAACTTTTGGAGAGACAGGTGGGATGGAAAAGGTTGTAAAGGAGTACTGTTACTCGGAAATGAAATCAGGTCAAAGTGGACAGGGCCCCTTTAGAAAATGAATCTGGGGTGATAGTTTTGGGGAACAAGTACATGGCAGATATTTTGTATCAATCTTTACTGGGTGGGAAGATACTTTGAACATTTCATTGATGCTAAAGAATACAGGGGAGGAATTAAGTACCATTACCATTACTAAAGAAATAGCATTAGATAAATTAATGGGGCTAAAGGCAGGCAAGTCCCCTAACTCTGGCGGCTTGCATACTAGGATCCTAAAAGATGTTGCTACAGGGATGGTGGATGCATTGGCTGTAATTTTCCAAAAAATCATTGAATTCTGGAGAAATGCCAGAGGATTGGAAAACTGCTAATATGACACCCCTATTCAAAAAGGGAGGGAAGCAAAAAGCAGGTAAGTATACAAAAACAAAGTTGCTGGAAAAGCTCAGCAGGTCTGGGAGCATCTGTGAAGGAAAAAACAGAGTTAATGTTTTGGATCCAGTGACCCTTCCTTGGAACGAACAGCGGGTAAGTATAGGCTGATTAGCCTAACATCTATTGTTAGACAAGTATTGGAATCAATTAAAGTAGTAATAGCAGAACATTTGGAAAATCATAAAAAAACCAAAGAACTACAGATGCAAGAAATCAGAAACAAAAATCAGAAATTGCTGGAAAAACTCAGCATGTCTGGCAGCATCTGTGGACAGAAAGCAGAGATATCATTTCAGGTCCAGTGAAACTTCTTCAGAACTTTTGGAAAATCATAATCCAATCAAAGAGAGTCAACATGGCTCCAAAAAAAGGGAGATCGTATCAGACTAACTGAGTTTTTTTTGAGGAAGTCTCAACCAGAGCGGCCAGAGGGAAACCAGTAGATGTACTGCATTTGGACTTCCAGAAGGCATTCAACAAGCTACCTCACAAAAGGTTAAGTCATACGATAAGAGCCCAAAGTGCAAGAATATTGGCATGGATAAAGCATTGGCTCATGGGCAGGAAACAGCAAGTGAGGATAAGGAGTTCTTTTTCTGGTTGGCAACTCGTGATTAGTGGGGTTCCAGTGTGATCAGTGCTGTGACCTCAATTGTTTACAATAAATATTAATGGCTTGGAAGAAGTAAGTGAATGTACTGAAATCAAAATTTGCAGACAATATTAAAATAGGTAGAAAGGCAGGTTGTGAGAGGGATACAAACAGTTTACAGAGAGATAGTGATAGGTTAAGTTAAAGCTGGCAAAGTTGGCAAATGGAGTATAATGTGGGAAAGTGCAAAATTGTTTATTCTGGAAGACAAATGAAACAGCAGAATATTATTTAAATGGAGGGAAACTACAGAAAGATTTAACGTAGAAGGAATTTGGGGGTTTTTGTACATGAAACACAGAAAGGTATCACCCATGTGCAGCAGGTAATCAGAAAGGCTAATGGAATGTTGGTCCCTTTTTCAAACAGGTTGGAGTATAAGCGTAGGAAGTCTTACTGTATTTGTACAAGGAACTGAGGACACCTCATCTGGAGTGTTGCGTTTTGGTCCTCTAAGGAAACATATTTCATTGGAGGCAGTTCAGAGAAGTTTCACTAGTATGATCACTGGTATGGACGGGTTGCTTTATGTGCAAAGATTAAACAGGTTGGGATTCTAGTCATTGGAGCTTACAAGAAGGAACGGTGATCACATTGAAACATATACGATTTTCAAGGAGCCTGACAGGATAAATGCTGAGAAGAAATTTCCCCCCATGGGAGTGTCGAGGGTCAAAGGGCATAGTCACAGAATAAAGGGTTCCAATTTAACACTGAAATGAGAAGGAATTTTTTTTCTTTCAGAGGATTGAGGGTCTTTGGAATTCTTTGCCACAGAGGGCTATGGGGCACACTCCTTGTGTATATTTAAGGCTGAGATAGATAGATTCTTCATCAGTAGGGGAAATCAGGGTTACAGGGAAAAAGCAGGAGTGTGGATGTGAGCAATGTCAGATCAGCCATGATCGTATTGAATGGCAGAGCAGGCTTGAGAACTGAACTGCCTTCTCTTGTTCCTTTTTATTTTGTTCTAATAAGCTTCTCTTCTGTTACTGGGCAGAATTAAATGGTGCCGTCCAGCAACTTTGGAAACTGCATGTGCTCTGAAGGCTGAATTTCAGAAAAAGAACTAGTTAATTAGTACAAAATAAATGGATGTAAACTAGAAAATTTCCTTGCAAGTGTCAAGCAGCGGCTACAGGGGAAACAAAGCCTCTCTTTGGCACAAAGATAAGGCTTTCTACACCTTTTTAAATAGAAAGAATAGAATATATTCTATGTTTAACCGTGCATTGTTTTAAACACGCACATTAATATTTAACCATTTTGTAGTACAAAACTTGAATGACGCTGAAAAAGCACACATCTTGTCAAAGATTTTCATCTTGCACAAAATGATTTTGAGGTGCCAGATAAAGGCTGTCCTGATCATTTCTCAGCACATTGCCCAAACTCAGGAACGGGCCTAAGATATCACTTTTGGACCCGAAATGTGCCCAATCGACCTCAGATTACCCTAGAAATCCCAAACAAGTTAGCAGCAGGTAAAGTTAGCTGTTTCATTCTGTCACTTGCAGTAGCAACACAAAGTGATGCTCGCACCTAACAGGTTTCTGCCATCAAGCCGAAAAGACATTCTGGTTATCACGCAAATTAGTAATGTGGCATATGTATTTCAGTGCTGATGTAATGTTTGGTATATAGACCATATACCCCAAACACTGACAGACTGCATTAAATAGCATATCCCATCGAGCTGTTAAACCAAGCTTGGTATTTAACTGTCAATCATCATTTACTGGTATATTCTTCAAGACACGAACTCTAATGATTAGAGCTTACTTGCTCAAAAATCAACACCCTCATTTTATTCTGTATGAAATTTGGCTTTCCCTTTCCTTAAAATTTTTTGCAACCTTTTCTGATGACTGCAAGGTGAAAAGTTTTGATGAAATGTGTGCCTTTTATCAGCAAATTTGAATATTTGATTGCATTGCAATTTCTGTCATACATAATCACTTACTTTACCTTTCTACTATATGGATTGGTTATCACTAGGTTGGTGTCATCGGATCCTGATAAAATATACTCTCCTGTATCATTCCAGCAAATTGTGTTTACCTGTTGCAAATATGGAACAACAAAAAAAAAACACTTAAATGACAGTCCCTGTACTTTTAGAGAAATGCAGTTAGCCCTCAATAGAATCAATTTATCCACAAGTCTTCTGAAAAGAAAGATGTTCAAATATACATGATGAATATCTAAAAATTGGTTGCAAATAAATTAAATTGAAAAATTAAAGCAGTATATTGAAATGGAAAAAATAAACAAGCAGAAAAAAGAGTGACTGCACACCAAATGTAGCAAAAACAAACACTTAGCAAAAACCACAATTTTAAATATTTTATATATTAGTGAATATTACAATCGCAAAGGTATTGAAGATATTTAAGTAGCTTTATACTTGTAATAATTTGACTTTCCATGTTGTACCACACTGCCAGTTAAAAATGTAGTCTCTCAGCTATTGTATCCTTCAGCCTTTCTCTCATTTTCTGCTTTACATCCTAACTATTTCAAGTTGGATATTTTTCTGGTTTTTTTAGCACTTTGCTTCTTCAGGGAAATGGGTGGCTGGTTGTAGAGCAAAAGTAAAAGGAATGTTTAGGGGCTATTGCTACATTTTAATGTCAATTGCAAGGACTCTCCTGCTTGCAAATCTCAGCAACTCTCTTCTCTTCCTTATCACCAACACCATTCTTCGCCCTCCTCCAAAATCATGCCTATGATCTCCATTACTTCTTTACCCTCCAGTACACCTAAATACCATCCCTACCATTCCTCCTTGAAATTCCTTCTCGAACCCTGTATCTCTACTATTACACTTGCTTCATTGCCAATCATCTTACCATTAAACCTCCATATATTCCCACAGTGCCTTCAGGACAGGTGACAAGGAATCTGCAGCCTGTTCACTTCCAATAAAATGGACAAATAATTACAAAAAATGTTTGTTGAATGTGACTATGTTTCTTGATATTTTGATGGCTACAGTCTAAGATCAGGACCACGAGATACAATTTAGGGATGCAAGATTCAAGGTAAGATGATGAAGATAAGAAGTCATGGGTAAAAAGGCACCAGTCTTACCAAACCATAGACAACTGATGGTAGCTTAATCTAAAGGCCACCATGCCTCAAGCAAGGGGAGAGATTGAGAAGGAAAAGCCTTCACGGTAATCGCAGCCGGTGCAGGAACTGAACCCAGGCTGTTGGTGTCACTCCGCATCATAAACCAGCTGTCCAGCCAACTGAACTAATGAGTAACATTTAGTGGGTGCACAGTTACAGGCCAATATACACTCAGGGACAACGTACAGAATGGGTTCATCAATCACAAAGTTGATTGGCGGGTCAGGATACACATCAAAACGATCCAGATATTGCAGAACTTGAAACGTGTAGCTCAAAATGTCACAGTGGACTGCACCAAGTCTTGGGCCCTCTACTTATCACTGGAAAACCTAAAACCAAGACTTTAAATGGCAAAAACAGGTGAACTAACATGAACAAATGGATCACGGAGTACAAATACACCAAACACAAAGATTATCAAGACTATAAAGAAAGTATGAAGCTTTATTTCCAGAGGGACAGGAATGGAAAACAAAAGGAAGTTATGCTAAACCTGTGTGAAAAATTTTCTATCGAACAGAGTACTGCATACAGTTCTAGTCACCATATCATAAATAGACTCTTGTAGGACTGGAAATGGTGCAGAGAATTTTCAGAAGGAAAGGATGAAAAGGCTGGGTATCATTTTATTTGAAAAAGGCTGAGGTGACCTAAAAATTGAATACGGAGGGATTTGAGAGAGTGGATAGAGAGAATGTTTCCTCTTGTGGGAAAGAGCAGAACTAGAGGCCACCAAAATAAGAAGTCACAAAGACAAGTACGGAATTCAGAAGAAACTTCCTCATCTAAAGAGCAGTGAGAAAGTTGAACTCACTATCACTGGAAGTGGTTGAAGTGAACAATATAGATGCTTCGCCATCAAAAACAAACTGGTAGACCAACTCAAAAGACTGCCCTTGTGGAATAAGTGAATACCTTATGACACCCTAATTCACCCTTGCTCGGAACCAGTATGTCACAGTATTCAGTGCATATGCACCAACACTCGATGCAGCAGCCGAGGACAAGGAAAAATTCTACTCCAGCCTTAACCAAATCTCTCTCAAAAGATCCGCAGTGAACAAACTAATTATCCTCAGCGACTTCAATGCCAGAGACAGCAAAAGTGGGGTGATGTAAATGGGAAAGCGCGAGTTGGGAAGCAAAACTCCAACGGCACCCTTCTCCTGACCAAATGCCATAAACACAACCTCCTCCTCATCAACACACTGTTCAAAAGGGACAAATACAAGACAACGCAGCAGCACCTGCGCTCCAAACACTGGCACCACCTTGACTACATCATTGCCAGAGAGGGGGATCGAAAAGACGTTAAAATCACCCATACCATGACAGGAGCCGGATGACTGCTAGATGGTTCATTGCCTGATCTGAGCCAGATCAACATAAATATAGCCCCACCATCACAGAGACAACAGAAGCAGTGCCACAAGAAGTTTAACATTGAGTCATTTAAAGTTGAGGAAAAAGAAGCCTCATGCAAGAAACTCTTCCCCACAAACCTAGTGACCCTCGGCGACACAGTTGTGGGATCCCAACAGTCTCTGGTCCGCCCTTAAGACCACCATCATCAATGTCTGCAAAAACTCAGTCAGACACTCAACCAGGAATCACCAAGACTGATTTGATGAGAAAGATCATGAGATTCAGGAACTATTAAGACAGAAGCGCATGACATTTCCAAGCATGAAACAACAACTGCATTCGGAAAAGAAAAGGCAGGCCTACAGATAGCTGAAGGTAGAAGTCCAAAAACAACCCTGTGACAAAGAACAGGCAGTGGGTGAAGAAAGCACTGGAGGCTCAATGAATGGCTGACAACCATGACATGAATGGTTTCTTCTGTGCTGTCAAGACCACATCTGTACCAAACACCCAAGGCCCTAACCCCACTGCTGGCTAAGGATGAAGTACTCTTCGAATATGAAGAAGCCATCAAAAAATGCTGGCGGGGTGTGGGTGATGAAGTACTTCAGCCAGGTCTCTGTCGTTGAGGCAAGCGTCCTTGTACACATTCCACAGCATAGTACAGACCATGAGGTCAGCAATACCCCAGCCTTGCACGAAGTACAGAAGGCCGTCCACCAGCTTTAGACATTAAGACTGATGGCACATATGGTATTGCCGCTTTGGCATTGAAACAAGGAGGCAAAGAGCTCCTGCCCTTGCCCGGAGGGGAGCATTATGGGAGAGCTCCAAGAGAACACGGTTGTGAGTATTTTCAAAAAAGGAAACAAGTCCAACTGTGGTAACTACAGGGGAATCTCCCTGCTGTCAACCATTGGAAAAGTCACCGCCAAGGTCTTCCTCAACTGTCTCTTCACTGTGGCAGAGGAACTCCTCCTGGAGTCGCAGTGTGGCTTTTGGCCACTGAAGGGCAAAATGGACATGATTTTCACCATGTGACAGCTGCAGGAGAAATGCAGAGAAAAGACCCTACTCCTGTACATTGCCTTCTTCAACCATACAAAGGCCTCTGACACCATCAGTCGGGAAACATTATGGAGTGTCCTTCTCTGCTGGCGTTGCACCATTATGTTTGTCACCAGCCTTTACCTGCTCCACGATGACATGGAAGTTACGGTAACAACAAATGGAGCTACCACTGACCCATTCCCCATTCAAACTGACATCAAATATGGCTGCATCATCACCCCAACTGTGCGCTCAACCTACCTTGCTGTAATGCTTCACCTCACTGCAGACAAGTTCCCCTCTGGAGTAGAGCTACCTTACAGAACCTATAGGAAATTATTCAACCTCCACTGTCTTCAAGCCAAAACCAAAGTCACCCCAACCAGTGCCATCAAGCCGCAGTACGCAGACAATGCTTGTGTATGTGCAACCTCAGACGATGTGCTCCAGACCATTGTTAGCACATTTATGGAGGGATATGAGAGCATACCTGAACATCTGCAAGACGAAGGTCCTCCATCAACCTGGCCTAGCATTGCGGAGCAAGCTCCCCATTCATCAAGGTCAGAAAATTTTGACCACTTCCAATATCTCAGATGTGTCCAGTTGGCCAAAACAGCTATTGACAAAGAGATCCAGCATCGCCTCCAGTGTGCTAGCACAGCGTTCAGCCGCCTGAGAACAACAACATCAGATCTGACTGCAAGATCACGGTTTACAGAGCTATCTATGGTGGTTCCCACCCTTCTCTCTGCCTTGGAGACTATCTACTGCAGATACCTCAAGGTACTGGATCAATACTATCAACACTGCCTGCTCAAGATCCTGTGAATCCACTGGGAAGAAAGACACACCAACTCCAGCATCCTCGAGCAGGTCAACATCACGGACATCGAGGCCTGACCATCCTGGATCAGCTATGATGGGCTGGGCACATCATCTGCATGACCAAGGCGAGACTCCCCGAGCAGGTGCTCTACCACCAGCTTCAAATCAGCAGGCAAGCCACAGATGGACAGAGGAAGTGCTTCAAGGCCTCACTGGTGAAGTGTAGCACTCCCCCAGACACCTGGGAATCACTAGCCCAAGACCATCCAAAGTGGAGGAGGAGCATCCAGGAAAGGTGTCGAGCACCTCGCGATTGCCATCAGGTAAAAATGGAAGCCAGGCAAAAAACTGCGAAAGAAGCGTGCTGCCACACCAGTGCTCCACCCACACCTTCCCGTGACCACCACCTGCCCTAAGTGTAACAGTGCCTACAGTAGCTGCATCGGTCTGTTCAGTGATCTATGGACTCACCCGGAGAGGGGAAGAGAGTCATCCTCGTTTGTGAGGGCCGCCAATGATGATGATGACGATGATGATAGATGCACTTCGGGACAGTTTAGACAAGTAGATGAGGAAGAAAGGAATAGAAGGCTACAAGGTTAGATTTATGTGAGAGAAGATGGGAGGAGGTTCAATTGGAACATGAATGTCAGCACAGACTTGGTGGTTCAAATTGCCTGCTTGTGTGCTGTATATTCCACACAATATGCAACACTTCAGCAGAAATTAACTTTTAAATTATTTGGAAAAAAAAAATTGGCTGCTGGAATTGTAGATAAAAAATGGTATTACAACTCTACAGTATCTAGACTACATCTGAAGTTAAATGTTCTGTTCTGGTAATCAAAACTCAAGGAAGGTAGTTAAATGCAGGGAAGAGTCTTACAAGCCTAATCCCTGATATCAGCAACTGGAGATTTGAAGATAGATTAAAACCTCTAGCTTTTCAGCTTGAAATAGTAATACCTGAGAAGTTATTGAACATAAAGTAGTAAACAACAAGGAAAAGGTAAACCTGGAATATTACTTTAAATTTGATTTTTTCTTAATTGAACAAACAAATGAAGGCTCATATACTAAGACCATTGCTTCTCCCCTCAGAGGGCAATGAACGTACCAACATGAGGTTGTAGACATGCTTACTGAGCTCGCGGGTTTGGTTGCAACTGTTTCGACATCCTGCTAGGTAACATTTTCAGTGCGCCTCCAGTGAAGCGTTGGTGTTCTGTCCCGCTTGTTATTTATATGCCTTGGTTTGCTGGGGTGCCACCGGCTCAGCGAGCACGTCTACAACCTCATCCACAACCCGAGTACAAATCTCCTCAAGCTTTAAACACCTATAGGCTTAACACCCTCAAAATGGCCCGCAGGTGGGGAAAAAAAAGCCATCCGTCTGAGAGTGACCCGCAAACAACTATACTTCCTGCATGAATGCCTCAGAAAGTAGGTACTGCCACAAAGCTTACGGTATAAACCACTGGCCAACAATTCACAGGCACAGAGGACAGTTGAACAGAATGGCTGCAGAATGATCAACAACGTCCACAACTGCCTCCACAAATATGAGCAGGAAATTGCGCACCAAAAAACTCTGTACTCCAACGCAACCAACCAAGAATGGACATCCACACTGGAACAAGCCATCAGCATACAACAACAAACGACCAGTACAAAGAAAAGAATAGCCCTTCAAGAAAAACTGTCCAAACTCACCCAAATCAATGACATGGACAACATATTTGTGGATTAAAAACATCTTGGACCGACCACTTACAGACACTGAGAAGACCGTCCTAGTACATGGACTGAATTATAACTAGAGACACCAACAAGCCTGACTTCCTCGCTGCACTGGAATCAACACTGCAGTACAACAGACCTTCAGACAGATCATAGTCCCAACACTGAAAAATGTAAAATGGAATACATTCAACACAAAAGACAGGAAAGCCCTGTAAAGACTCAAGAAAGACAGGAACATTGTAATCTTACCGGCAGACAAAGGACGCATGACAGTAATCCTCAAAAGGAACCCAATACATGGAGAAAGCTAATGCACTACTAGCAGATACCGATGCCTACCAACAGATGGCGATAGACCCGGCACCACAGTTAGGGAACTGGATTACAACAACCCTGAAGAACTTACACAACTCAGGAGACATCAGCAAGACGGACTACCAAAAAATGAAGCCAGAGGGCTCCAACACACCGCGATTCTACGGACTCCCCAAGGTACACAAACCGGGGGGCCCCTCAGATCCACTGTCTCACTGCCAGGTACACCAACATATAGACTTGCCAAAGAACTACAACAGAAATTGAAATACTTAGTGGAAACACTACCCACTCCCTCCACTCATTCCAAGAATTCCTCAACATCATCAAGGACACCAGGATAGATGAGGACGAGATGATGATATCCATTGACATAACAGCACTATTTACATCCATAAACATCGACTTAGCCAAAGAAACAATTGCCGCACTGCTAGACAGCAGACAGCCCAGGACACCAACATCAATTAACGACACCTCCATGAAACTACTAGGTCTGTGCCTCACAACCCACTTCACCCTCAACGACAACAAACAAATCAATGGAACACCAATGGGATCCACAATATCAGGACTGATTGCAGAAGCAGTAATGCAAAGGTTAGAACAGTCAGCGCTCCCCACTATACAACCCAAACTTTGGGTCTGATATGTACATGACACCTTTGTGATTTTTAAACACACAGAACTGGAAGAAACACACTGACACAAGTCCTCAACGGGATAAAATTCATGAAAGAAGAGGAGGAGAACAGCAACTGATTACCCTTCCTGGACATAATGGTAGAACACAAAAACAATGGGGAACTCCAGACTAGAGCATATAGAAAGACCACACTTACAGACCAAGTACTCAATTACACTAGCAACTACCCCAACGCCCACAAACGGAGCTGCATCAGGACACTATTTAAATGAGCCACAACATATTGCAGCAACCCAGAACTACACAAAGCAGAACAGGAACACTTATATGGAGTCTTCAAAAGAAATGGAGACCTGAAAAGCACAAACCGCCGTTACCTCTGAGACAGACCACAACAGGAAAACACAACACCACCTGAATCACTTATCACCCTACCGTACATCCAAGACATTTCAGAGATGACCACAAGACTACTCAGACCCCTAGTATCAGAGTAGCCCACAAACTGACAACCACCCTACCACAGCTACTGATGAACGTAAAGGATCCCAAATTCATGACTGGGGTAATAAACAAAATACCATGCAAGGACTGTGAGAAACACTACATAGGCCAAACTGGAAGAATATTGACTATATAGATACGTGAACACCAACTAGCCACCAAGAGACACGACCAATTCTCACTTGTCTCACTACATGTGGACAACGAGGGACATGAATTTGACTGGGACAACACATCGATAATTGCACAAGCCAAACAGAGACGTGCCAGGAAATTCCTGGAGGCCTGGTATTCCAACCAGAACTCCATCAACAAACACACTGAATTAGACCCTATGCACAAACCATTGAGAAATATTCCGGAAGTAATGCCAACCACCCACTTCATTGCATCTAGTCTACTATATTTGCTGGTCACAATGTGGTTTCCTATAAACTGAGGAGATGAAAGGCAGACTGGGTGATGCTTTGCTGAGCACCAAGGCTCTGTCTGTAAAAATGACTCTGAACTTCCAATTGCCTGCCACTTCAACACAACATGCTCCCATGCCAACATTTCTGTCACAAGCGTGCTGCAGGTTATAAAAATGTATTTTTGCAAATATTTTTAACTTGATTAAACTGAAAGCCATTCCACTTTTCAGAAGTTAATATTTTGATTTCGGAGCAGCTTTATATTCCAGCACAGTTCAAAAAATAATGAAGACTTTTCTGTCCACTAAAACAACTTTACATAAACAAAATTAATTGTATACTCACACAACCATCATGCACGCTCAATTTAGCTTCAAGTTTTAATCTTTGGATGAATTCTCTTCTTCCTTTATTAAGGGCAAAAGTCAAAGTAGAAAAGTTATCCGTGGTGTACAATGGGCAAAATATGAAATTTTGAGAAAACTACTGATACCAATAAAAGTGGAATAAAGCATTAGGATAAATCTGCTCGTTAAACCAACAGTACTGGAATTGAACACGAAAACATCAATTATTGTTTCTGTAATCTTCTGCTTATCTTACCATTAAAATTACAAATGGAAGGCTGGTAACAACACAACCTTTCAGCATGATTTGCATATGACCAATGCTAAGATTTTAGGAAACTAATTCCCTTGACAAAAATACTTTTAAACAGATGTGAAGCAATCATCTTCTATAGGACAGAGTTAGAATTTCAGACTGATTGTCCATTGCATGTGGTTTAGCTGCCAATGAAAATTTAGCCACTTTTCCCTGGAGTACCTAGAGCAGGAAAAACAGATTGAAGGATCTTTTGGAAAAAGTTCTGACAGGTTAATAAAGGGCCATTAATTGTTCTAATAGAGATTTCAGTAAGCTGAATGATTTTCCTAGGTGTGGTAGAAGGCGAGAGAAGAGAATGTAACAATGTACGTATACATGGTTAATACACATGGTATACTAACAATTTCAAATTTGTGAGATAAATCTATTTTGATGTCAAGCTGCAAGATTCAACTTTGGTTAAAATAGATCAAATGGAATACGGGTCAATGTAATCAAAACAAGCTGTCAAATCAGCTGGCTCCCAGGTTCCAAAGGCACACTATCAGCCTAGTAGATGAACTGATACTTTAATCAGTACCCTACACAAAACGTGTAAAACATTCAGAGTTGTACAGCACAGAAATAGACGCTTCAGTCCAACTCGACCATGCCAACCAGATATCCTGAATTAATCTAGTCCCATTTGCCAGCATTTGGCCATTTCCCTCTAAACCCTTCCTATTCATACACCCAACCAGATGCCTTTTAAATGTTGTAATTGTACCAGCCTCCACCACTTCCTCTGGGATCTCATTTCATACACACACCACCCTCTGCGTGATAAAGATGCCCCTTAGGTCCCTTTTAAAGTTTTCCCCTCTCACCTTAAACCTACGCCCTCTAGTTTTGGACTCCCCCACCCTGGGAAAATACCTTGCCTATTCACCCTATAAAATAGTGAGGGGCATGGATAAACTTCTTTAAACACCTCTCAACCTCCAATGCTCCAGGGAAGTTAGCCCCAGCCTACTCAGCCTTTCCCTATAGCTCAAATCCTCTAACCCTAGCAATATCCTTGTAAATCTTTTCTGAACCCTTTCAAGTTCCACAACATCCCTCCTTTGGCAGGGAGACCAGAGTCAAATGCACTATTCCAATAGTAGCCTAACCAATATCCTGTACAGCTGCTACATGACCTCACACCGCCTATACTCACTCAATGCATCGACCAATAAAGACAAGCATACCAAATGCCTTCTTCACTATCCTGTCTAACTGTGACTCTACTTTCAATGCCCGCAAGTCTTTTCCTGTTCTCTATAAAGGCATTTCCAATACTAGTCAACATATTTCACAATCAAAATTATGAAATACACAGTTGAGTATCTTTGGAACTCTCTTCCTCAAAAGGTAGTGAAAGCAAAAGTCTTTGTATTATTTTAAGACAGATATGGGTAAAAAGGTGAGCCAAGGAGTGAAAGATTATTGGAGGTAGGTGGGAATGTGGTGTCGGGGCTTTAATCAGATCAGCCATGATCTTAAGTGGCAGAGGAACCTCAAAGGGCATATAGCACAATCCTGCTCCTAACTCGTGTTTGCATGTATGCTCACAAGGAATATGTAAATAATGAATCTGCACTATCTGTATACTGTGTCTTTACTGATTGCCAAAGATTAGCACCAAATGAATTATTTTGAATAATGAAGAGAGTTGTCAACTTATAGCTTTCATCCCTATATTTCTGGAAGTATTCAAACTTTAGATCATTGTACAATGAGTATAGCACTAAAAGGCTATTTGAATCCACCCCTGAAGATTAACATGGTCAATGGATAATGTGCAATTCGGATTGATTAGGTGAAATTCACAAAAGTTAATAGATGTAATATATCTTTTCCAGCAAGATTAATAAGATTTCCTTTAACTATTTTAAGACTTTTATGCAGTAAATGATTGGACCCTTAGGAGCATTGATATACAGAGGGATCTTGGGGACCAAGTCCACACCTCCATGAAAAGGGCATCTCAAGTGGATAATGTGGGTAAAGTAAGCATATGGCATACTTGCCTTCATTGGTCAGGGCACTGAAAGTTGGCACGTCATGTTGCAACTATATAAAACTTTAGTTAGGCCACATTTGAAGAAGTGTCTGTAGTTCTGATTGCTACACTATAGGAAAGATGTAGAGGCTTTGGAGAGGGTGCAAAAGAGGTTTACCAGGACATTGCCTGGTTTGGAGTGTATTAGATACAGGAGAGGTTGTACAAATTTGGACTGCTTTTGCTAGGGTGCCGAGGAGTAACCTAATATAAGTACATAAAATAAGAGACATGGATAGGTGGAAATGTCAAATATTAGGAGGCAGAGGTTTAAGATGACAGAGGTAAGTTTGAAAGGAGATGTGCAAGTTTTTTTTTAAAAAAAGGTTAGGTGCCTGGAACGTGCTGCCAGGGGAGGTGATAGAAGCAGTTACGACAGCAACATTTGACAGACATTTAGACAGACACAGGAACAGGCAGGGAATAGAGTGAAACAGACTAAGAGTGAGAAGATGGGGTTAGTTTAGAATGGCATCACAGTGGGAACACAAACGGTGGGCCGAAGGGCCTCTTCTGTGCTGTACTGCTCCATGGACGCACATTCAAAAACAAAGTATTATTTTTCATTCCGTTACATGTGAAATACTAACAGCAACTGCTGAGCAATAAAATTTCAAATCCAATTGGTTGCTTGCATGCCAAAGTTAACAACATGGGGCAATGTTTGAAAGATGAAACTGCAGTACATTATACTTGATATAACGTGCCCTGGTCAAGTATCAACAGAACAGTATAACAGTAATAATGAAAAGAACTGACATTAACTGAGAGGGGGCTGTCAACAAAGACCGAAGTAAAGACCGTTTGTCCACTGAGTGCAAAGGCAACATATATGCATGCCTTATTTATCTCTATTGCTCACTGTTCTCACGAAGGGTCACCGGACCCAAAACGTTAACTCTGTTTTTTCCTTCACAGATGCTGCCAGACCTGCTGGGCTTTTCCAGCAACTTTGCTTTTGTTCCTGATTTACAGCATCAGCAGTTCTTTCAGTTTTTATTTAGAATTTAACGTATTGCTGTCCTTAATCCTTGAGATTTAGTCTTTTCAATTTTCATCTTTCAATTATAAAGTCCAACATGCAAAATTAAATTTTAGAATGCAAACTTACATAAAAGTATCCTTAAGAAAGGCAAGTAGATCTGTAGGTAGTTCTTACTTAGAATGATTTGATTGTGAGACAGAAAGATATTTTTAATAAAGTGCAATGAGGCAAGTCCACACAATAAATATTAAAACGTGCACTTCACAAAATGATAAATAGAAAGTGAACTGTGAACAACATTGGTATATCTGAAATACATTAGTTTATTTAGAATTCATGATTTTTAAAAATGCTTTGCAGGAGTATTTCCATATATCTACTTGCCCAATTAATTTTCTCAAAACACTTTCATCCTATATTTAACCTTCACGAAATACACTGGCATCTCATCACTACATTTCTAAATTTAGATGATCCATCATCATCGTAATTTTGGATTGCATTACAAATTCTTGGGTTTTCAGTTGCAGCAACACTATAATATGCTAGCTTCTAAACGTAGTGTAATAACTCTAACACTGCATGAATTTAAAAGCTTGTTCCAGAAGTAACAAATATATGGAAGAAAACAAACTGCTGGAAATATCTACTTCACATTGGGTCATTGGCAAATTTAGGTCAGAGGAACATAGCCACAAAATAGGAGGCAATCCTTTCAGGAGTGAATTGAGAAAACACCACATCTGTTTATGCAAAGGGTTGTAGAAATTTGGAATTTGCTTTCTCGAATAAGATCACAAGGAGGAGCAGCAGGAGTATGACATACAGACCCTCAGGTCTGCTCTTCTTTTCAATACGATTATGCTGATCTCCTGCCTCAAATCCACATTCATGCCTACTCCCCATAACTTTCCACTCTAAGAAACCAAAAATCTGGCTGACTAAAGCACAAATATACTCCATAAAGTAGCATTCCACAACCTTCTGTGATTTTTTTTTAATGCATATACAGTACACTATCTCCAAACAACATTATAATTCAAGTATCTTAATACTGGAAATATTTTCCTATTTTTTTTCTGCAATCTACAGCAAGACCAATTGAAAACTGATAATGACATTCTTATTCATGCCAAGTGAGATCAATACATAGATCAGGGACAATAAACTTGGAGTAACTTAAGGAATTGTAGCCAGTGAATATGACAGCTTTACTTGATGGATAACTTGGGTGAATCAAATGGCCTTTCCTATTCACAAATTTCTTGCAATAGCCTAAAATCTGAATTATAGCAGACTTGAAAGACTGCACAAGTGAATATATCCCTTTCTTTGAAAGTAGTATATTACCTATTCTTGATAAACTTAAGCTGGTCTGATAGCTTTGTCAAGGGCGAGAGAATTGCACAGACTGTTTGCACTGTGTGTGCTGGCTTCAAAGACTAGATCAGTTCTATTTACGTTGACCATTTGCACAAAGACATTTTTTGTTTTCTCATCTTTGCTATCTCAGACCTTGCATATTACCAGATCACTGTGGCAAGACAGAACTCTACTTATGGAAAGGTATTTGTCCACTTTAAGACTCAAAGATGCATTGTAAAGAATTGGGAGTCTCAGAACTTCGTTGGATTCAGAGCTGATGTACAGTTGAAAGCTAAATAATCCAATACTGATATGACTAGCCTGTCCATCTTTCTCATCCCAAAGGCAGGCTTCCCTGAGACCATGGT